GGAGTTATTAAAAAATTATTAAAAACATATCTAGCAGGTAGAGAAGTAATTTGAAAACATATCTCAATCAATTATATGAATACCCCAGTATTGGGCAGTGATGCCACCGATACGAACAAATGGCACGACGTATTGTGGCTGCAGAGACAGAGCAGACACGATTCTGCCAAACGACTGCACAGCGTCTGCCCAATTCGAGTTTGCCCAATCGACACGCATTTTCTCGTCACCAGCCAGTGAATTGAGGAAGCTAAACTTTGGGTTTAGATTGAGAACGGGTAGAAGTCTACATTTCTTCCAACTTTCTTAAGACTGTATCGTGCTCAGCAGATTTCCTCGGTTCTCGTACTGATATGATAGGGAGAGCCAATGGAAGAATGCGGTGGAATTAAGGAATATTTCTGGTTAGGTGAAATGGTGATGTCACTGCTATTCTATCCTCTCCCAAGGATAGTCTCAGTACGACCCCTTCCACAGGCTGCCTAGCGTCTTACTAAATTTCGAAAACTTGACTGACTAGCGGGAGGGGTCCTGTCAGAAATAGTAGCGTTGCCGTGCCGCCTCGAGACCAAACACGACACCCTTCGCTAGCGACCAAATATATTCGACCTCCTGATAGGGTTTGCACACTGATGATTTACGCAGGGTGGGAAATAGCAGGGTGTCAGCTGACAATATTTTCGCTGTTCACAATTTCACATCTCAACTTTCTTTCGGAGTACGTTAAAGTTCGATACTCTAGAGATTCCAGACTGATCATGACCAGAAGAGAGTCGTTCACTGTACGAAATTGGTCTTCACAGCCGGATAAAAACTGGGAATGAAAAGAAACTCGCAGTCTGCCTTGCACATCTGTCTTTTGTCATCTTTTCCTCTATCCCTATCCCTATCACTGTCATGCTCCCTCACATCTAAAATCTGCGTATTCATGGATCATCACGAAAAACCAACCCACCTCAAGTGTGCTGCTGTAAGCACCGTCTTCTGTTCCTCAGCCAGTCGGAGAGTACGAGCAGCCAGTATCCGCGACATGGTCTCTATTAGATGAGGTGTCTGCGTAACACCGGACATCTCACAACTCGCAGCTGAATCCTGTCCAGCACGTAAGTGGCACAGAACTTGCTGAACAATAAGGCTAGAGGCCAATGACAACGAAGGAAGACAAGAGCAGACAACAAAATTCACATTTAGGCACTTCAGAACCATTGCCACCCCAAGACTCAACAATTTTTTTCTGCTGAAACCTTGACTATAGTGAACTATTCGGAGCCCTGATCACGAGTATGACATTACTTTTGGCGCTGGCGCCATTAGGCGACTATTCGGCGCCCCATCCCTTTCCCAGCAGCACCTGACAAAACTTTGTATACCGGTGTAAATTGACCCCTGGCAACGAATATCACCTGCGTTTCGGCGCTGGTGCTATTCAGTACTCTGGTGAGGCTGTGCTCGGGCTGTCACGTGTACTCCCTTCCATCTATCCCCAACTCCACAGGCGTAGATGGCATGGGCGCCAGGCAGTTTCAGGCCGAGTGGACGTGATACGTGTTTAAGAGGTCAAACTACCTCACGGAACAAGTTTTCTGGCAAATATGCCCTCATAGAAAAGTCTTTGAAAAACTTCTCTGAATACGAGATTGGTGGACAGCACTTCAGCAGTGCCCCATATTTTTTAAAAAGAGGCTGATTAAAACTCCCACAACTGTCAGGCAAGTACTAGGGAATTCGAAAAAGTACAAATTTGTGGCTACGAATATTCTCCATTCAACGAACGCTGTTAGTTCCGAAGGGGGGGGTAAAAAAGACCGGAATGTTTCGGCCACCACAAAATTACACTAGACTGCTGTTTCTGAATAAGCCTGGATTCATGACCGCAGGCCTTGTTGTTCTCACTTACTGAACTGTTATGACCTTCTTCGCAATTCAAGCCAATGGGGCCCTAATTTAAGCGATGACTGAAATATGTGTGGCAGCTCCCCATGAACTATTAGGTTGTCCGGAAAGTTCTGCACGTTTTGTGTTACTATTTTTTGAACATTCATTGCTGATTAAAAACTCACTCTCCCTTGCGTCTCAGTAGTACATCCTGAAGAGAATTCTTTGCGCTATCTGATGGTATAACTGCCGTTTCACCATTGCTTGATGAACCCCTTTTTTAAGATTTTTTCAAGCATGTGAAAAGAGCACTTCGGACGATTTTTTTCTTCGACTATAAATTGGGGCAATCCGCAATCGAAACAGCTCGCAAATTAACCAGGTGTGGGGGCCCATAGTGCTAGAGAAAGCACTGTGCGGCAAAAAATTTCGTTCTGGAGATTTCAGCCTTGAAGATGAACCTCATAGCGGTCGACCTAAAGCAATATCTGACGAGGATTTTAGGGGGATTTTGGAGGCTGACCCATCCCAAACAGTTCGAGAGATTGCAGAAAAGCTAGGCGTTGGCAAATCCACTGTTGCAGATGGTCTGAAACGCATTGTGAAAGGTGAAAAAACTCGATAAGTGGTGCCCCACAATTTGAGTGACCGGCAGAAATTGGCAGTCTCGCGGTTTCCTCTTCACTGCTTTTGCGCAGCAGAAACGACCTGTTTTTGGGCCGAATTGTCACCTGTGATGAAAATGGGTCATGTATGATAACAGGAGACGTTTCCGGACAGTGGTTGGATTTCGACGAACCACCGAGGTAATTTTCAAAGCCGAACCCTCACGAAAAAAAGATTCTGGTCACGGCTTGGTGGTCATCGGCTGGTGTGATCCACTATAACTTTTTATCACCAGGCCAAACCATCACAGCAGAACCCTACTTGAAGAAATCGACGAAATGTACCGAAAATTTTGTCAGCTGCAGCCAACACTTATCAAAAGAAAGGGTCCGATTCTTTTGCATGACAACGCCCGCCCACGTTTCACAAATCACTATCCATAAATTGAACGAATTGGGGGTTGAAGTTCTACCTCACCCACCATATTCTCCAGACCTTTCACCAACCGACTATCACCTTTTCAAACATTTTCAGAACTTCCTTGCTGAAAAATACTTCATCAATTAGGACCAGGCAAAAAAGACCCGTAGATTTCGTGGATTCTCGACCACCCAGTTTTTTCTTTGATGGGATTTCTCGACTGCTGTCACATTGGCAAAAGTGTGCTGATTCGAATGGTGCTTATTTGGATTAAATCCGATGAGTGTTAAGAAAGTATGATCGTTCAAAAATACATTGTACGCTCAAACACATTGAGGGTGTATGAGACTATCAGCCCCCAGCTGTCGATGTGTCGTGGTCCCCCGCCCAAAACTGCACGGGTCAGAGTACGGGACCGTGGGAAAGTCGTAATTCCTTGCTACGCCGCCCGTTTCGCAAACTCACGTTTTTACTAACACCGTCCGCGCGGCGTCGCGTGCAGCTCTCTTGGCTTTTTGCCAAGTCCTGTAATTGCGCTTTGGAATACAAGTACAACGCAATTCTTTATGCGGATAACATTTTAGGTGCTGCAAAATAAAGAACCGAAGATGATGACGAGGGCTAGAACTCAAGAGCAACTGTGCTGCTTCTGCAACATTCCTCAGAGGCCGCGCATTCACATGAACATGACGAATAAAAACAGTGACAACATCTGAAAACATGACAATACAAGCAAAACGCAATTTCCTAACATTTGAGGTATTGCTCATGCTTCAAAGTCCGAATAGAAGGTGATGAAGATGACAAAGGCTAGAAATGAAGAACAACGAATGTAGATGTAAATAAAACAAATTTGAAAAAAACTAAGGAAACGCAAATTAATTAAAATCGCGTGTGCATTTCTGCGATCCGGCTCGAATCCGGCTCTAAAGCTATAGAAATACTTCAAACTAACGAGTGGGACGCTTAGGCCGTTTTTATTTTCATGTTTCGTGGAAATGCGCGGCCTCCGAGGAATATTGCAGAAGCAGCACAGTTGCTCTTGAGTTCTAGCCTTCGTCATCATCTTCGGTTCTTATTTTGCAGCACCTAAAATGTTATCCGCATAAAGAAATTGCGTTGTACTTGTATTCCAAAGCTGAATTACAGGACTTGGCAAAAAGCCAAGAGAGCTGCACGCGACCGCGCCGCGCGGATGGTGTTAGTAAAAACGTGAGTTTGCGAAACGGGCGGTGTAGCAAGGAATTACGACTTTCCCACGGCCCCGTACTCTGACCCTGGTGAGGTTTTTGGCGGGCGAGACCCCACACATCGAGGCGGCTAGTAACTCATGGTTGAGCATGTATTTTGAAGTCTTTAAATCATCGATTTAACACAAGCAGCCATTGAATGCCTTTCACGAGAGTGAGAAATCCATAGAAAATGCATAAACCCGTTACTACCATGTGTCTTTAAAGTGAAACACTCGAAACGTGCAGAACTTTCCGGACAACCTGATAGTTAACAGCGACGTTTTCGCAGATTGCAAATAACTTGTCCTTCGGTAGTAGCTGTCAGCTGCGAACGAAGAAAAACTCACAGTAATTTGTATAGTGTCGACCGTCAAATTCCACTCACAAGATAAAATCCTAGCAAATTTACGATCAATTTCCGTTCCTTGTTCGGCTATCTAAATTCGCGCGAGAGTACCTATTGAATGACAGTGAACAGCAAAGAAGGAGGCAAACCTTCGTAAGAAACTGGTGTCTTCGTTCTACCACAGCATCATCCACTCGGTCTAATGGTATCAGTGGATGAGAATCCAAGGGGAGGAAGAAAGCTCGTTGACCGATTGGACAGAAAAGGACGCGTAGAATATGACTGCGAAGACCAGCCGAAAGCTAATAAAGAAGTGAGTCAGAAAGGTTCACGATTCTGGCATGAAAAAATAAATACCTGAATCGCGGCAGCCACTGCTAGGTGATAATGATGCAGTACGAGATGGTAATTCACTAATTGTTGGCGAACAGCCAACTCTACCAGTGAGTCTCTCGACGCACTTGTTAACTGCAGACTGGTTGGCGGATGGGATTGCGCTATCTGAAAGACAATTTGCACAATCAAAGCACGTTCGCAATATCTTTGAGCGGCTGTTTGACCTCTATCAAGTGATCTTGCTGGATCTGTGAAGGAGGGGGTGAATCTCTGACATCATCCATGAGCATTTTCAGGAGTTCATGACATCTTGACAGGAATTCCACCTGAAAAACGATTTCGATAAAAGGTCTGCGCAAAAAACTATAGTTTGGTGACCGATTACAGCTACGCTTCAGAACGTTTCAGCGAATCTTTCAAAAATGAGCAGTCCCCTAGTAGGTGTGAATATGAGGAGCAGCTGCTAATCAGTAACTGTTTCTCTCCCCTTAAATTGAGGTAAGGCAGAGGAGGGGATTTGATCCTGATATTCCTGCTTCACAAACGTCAACACTCCCATTTTTTCCTTTATGAGTAGCACCTCTAGAAGAACGGTCGAAAAATCACGAACTGCCCGCTCTCACCACAAATAGACTCAGATCAGGGAAATGGATACAAGACGCTAAAAATGGTGTAAACTAAATATCTCACCACACGTATTTCCGCCATCTGTAGCTGCTGGCGAGCTTCTCGTTCCTTTGGCCCACGACCAGTCTTTTCAATTAATAATATGGTCGCTTTGAATCGCTCCAGTATAAAGTTCTGCCACATTAATGCCAAGACACCATGGCGCAAGCGATTGTCATCAACAAGTGCGAGATAACCCAGAGCAAGCTAAACAATTATAATTTATACTACATCGAATACTGCACCTTTTCTGAATAAATAAATCCACTCCTCACCTCGAAATTATTAAAGCACTGCATGGTATCCTTGAACCATTGACTCATCAGCTCCCATGCGATGTCACAGCAAAGTAAAGAAAACTTCAAAGAGTTCGGTAATAGGGAACACAGCTCATTCAGGCTAGCGATCGAAGACAGTTTCTCCTCCAACTGATTTGGGTTCCATTTTTCTCGAGCTACCAGTGAAGCGACCTGAACCAGACTTTCTGAGAATGCGCTTCGGGAGAGAAGTAGGGTAATGCTGACCTGCTCTCGGAAGAAAGCTCTCGCACTGCTTACAACCTTGGCGAAAGGTACGGGCTGCCGTAACTGACACGCCAAGAAGGCCAGCATGCATCGTGAGAATGGTACAATCGGAGTGCTCCATGCTGGGATCAACGGGTTCCCAATCGTCAGCGCTGCCTTAATTCTCGATAAATTTCAAAACCTTCATAGCTAGCTATTTGACCAGGTACACTATTGAAAACCTAAGAGGGTGACAAGTTGACAAGGTG